CCCTTGTCATTTGTTGAGCAGGAAGAGTGAGCGCTTGTTTTCATGCAGATTACGTCCCGGATCAAAATGCGGTACAATCGTCGTCTTTTTTTTTTTTTTTTTTTTTTAAATCGTTGTCATTTGGAAATGAGATCGTATGAATCGAGATCGCGATTTTCTAACGATTAATCGTGCAGCCCTACCTATGTATATAAAATTAAACTATGAAAATGGTCCATACACTAAGGTTTTTATCTTGGTGGTGATAGATTAGTAATAGATTGCAGTGATTCCATAAAATATTTCAAGTTGTATAGGAAAAGGAGGAGCTGAGTCTTGCTGTTTTGTTGATGTTCCAATGTCTTGTCTCTCTTTCCTATTTGTCTCTCACAGCTGTGGATGTGCTGTGGCTGAAAACCTATGTGTTTGCAGTAGCATATGCTGCTGGAGATGGCTCACTTGAGACCCCCCCTGAGCTAGTGTTGATCTCACTCCCTGTAAGTATGCCTGGCATCGTTTTTTAGATAGATTTTTATCTGAGTTTATCAGGTTTAACAGACTGGTTCTACGGTCGAACTGCTGATCAGAGTATGAGGCTCAGTTAAGACCATTCATGGGTATCGGGGGGGAAAAAATCATCACTGCAGCTCAGTTTTGGAGAGTTAAATTTATTATCCACATTTTCATCTTTTACCAAACTTGAATTTTCCTTGCTTGCGTTTCTAAGTTTTATCACGTAAATTTTAAAATTTATTTATTTATCAGTAACTTGACAGTGATAACAATGCAAGTAACAGAGTTAAACACATGTATCTAGCAGATTAGTTATTGATCTGTGAAGTGTGTGAAAAAGATGATCCAGGTTCAAACTGTAACAGTTCAATTTATACTTAAAATATAAATGCACAGCAGTTTTTAAACATTGCTTACAAATATATTTGTGTATTTATGCTTGGCGTAAATACATTTAGATTATGGTTAGGAATTCATTACAGCTGCTTTTAAGTCTGAAAATCTACAAGTCATTTGATCACAGTCATCTTTATTCAGAAATATTCACATCATCCCCACATGAAGTGAAAGAGAGCAAGAATGATCCAGCAAACTGATCATCAGAACATCTAATTGTTCATCATTAGTGTTTTATGCCTCCAGAGTTTTATACAGGTTTTAATAATTAAACAGGGATTAATACAGAAATGTTTCAGTGCAGAGAAAATGACCACAGAAAAAAAGCAAAGAATAACAGTGTCGAATGTTTTCAATGGTTGCCATTGGCAGCCATAAGTACCAAAAGAAACTTCACAGCATTTTTGCATACAGTATTCCTGTATGCCTGGCACAACCAGTCTGGAGGCATGTCAGTGCAAGTGGGTCAGTCAGTGGAGACATTTCTATGACACATCTGTGAAGGAACATAGATTTCCAGATGGTAGAAACAAAGATTTAAAACAAAAAACTTGCTTATTCCTATGAATCTGTGATATATTTATTTATTTATTTCTTAGGCTTCCCTTGGGTTTCAGTGCATGTAGTTTTGGTGCTCTGATGACATCACAGCTGTGCATGCAGTGACCAGTGCTTTGACCATAATTGGGCTTTTGTGCTTTCTTTTCATATTTACACTACTGTGTAAAAGTCTTGAGTCACCAGTCATTTCTTCATATTTTGTTCCCAGTCAGCTACACTTGTAGTTTTCTTTTTTTTTTTTAATGACAGAGAAAGCGTTATGCAGGCTCTCTGAAGGTATTTCAAGGTTTTTCTTTGGACATTGGCTGCTTTTCCACTATTTTTTTTTTCCTGTCCAGTCCTTGTATCTGACCATTTTCAGAGGAATGTTTGTTTGTGTAAATTGAAAAAGGCAACACTGTATCAGTCATGGACCTCCTCAGTGCCCATTAACAGTGTGGGATCATCTTAACAGACAATTGAACAAAACGCAACCAACATCCAAAGAAGAGCTTTAAATGGCCTTTAAGCGACTACTTAACCTCCTAAGACCCGAACTTTTCCATGGCATGCATTTTTAATTTCTCTTTGATATTTGGGATGATTGGCACCTGATGAATGTAAAAACAAAGAATTACCAGATTCTTTTTTCTTTTTTTACTTTTTGTTTGAGAAAAATGAGATCCACATATGAGCATATTTGTTTAAAATTTCAATAGAACAGTGGCAGTATAATGTCCTCGTAAGTGGATATCAGGCCCTTGTAGAGCAAAATGTAGTATTTTGGTCTAGACAACCCAAAATGTGATGTCCATATTGTGGACGCCAGGTCCTAGGAGGTTAAAGAAATTACAAGAAAGACTACATCAGAGAGTTCAGGCTGTGATGAAGAATTAAGGTGGTAATACCAAACTGTAAACCTTCAAGCCTGTTAAACTTGTACAAAGTTTGTCATATGCTGTATTTCCATTTCTGTTTGCAGATGTTCCAATAAATTGCTGCACCTGTTTCCCATGGGTAGCTTAAGGCATTTTAACAGTGTTAATGTCCAATCAGTTTTATTTATAAAACTCAAACTTGTATGTGTGTCAGACAGCTTTACAGTCTGTATACCAAGACTCTTGAGGCCCACTCATCCCCCTTAAATTTGTTTAACAGAAAGCAGATTTAGCACCCCCCCTCCCCCCCCAACCCTGAGACACAGTTTGATGTCACTAGCTGACAGGTTAATGCACATAAATTACTGTATGCATATTGGGGTTCTTTTTCTGCAGCTTACATTTTTGACATAAATTACAGTGCTACTGAAGTGTGCCACTTCTCTACTCTAGATTTATTTATTTATTTATTTATTTATTTTACAGAAGAAGGATGAGAAAGTGGAGCCAAAGTTTCTGAACTTTGGTGAATTTGTTTTTGGAAGCTGTACGGAGCGTCAGCACCACTACTTCCTCAGTCACGTAGAGGACTGGTAAGACTGATCCCAACTGATAGATTTGCTCCAACAGTGACCTGAAAGCCTGATTACTTATAAGCTAAAACTCATTGTTTATGCCCTGAAAGTTTTGCGCTTTGTTTGATGTTAAGGTCATGGTAAATTGAAGCTTTGTCTCATTGATTTTATTTTTTTTCTTTCATCCAGGGACCTTGTGTTTGCAGCATCAGCAGCTTCCATTGAGGTCAGCGTCATTGCCAGACAAGACGATAAGGTAAACGCTAAAATGTGTGAAAAGGTTTTAGGTTTGTCTAAATGTAGAGATAAATGAAAGTGGTCTTGAATGTATTGTCATTTTTCTACTTTGTCTTTACATCTGTTTGTTTTACTCGGTTAAAGTAAAATGCTTCCAAAAAATCGAGGAGGGTTGCATAAGTGTTACAGCAGCTTCTACTCAGTCACAACACTTACCTTCTAAATAATTTAGATTAGCTAAGCTCCCACCAGGTCAAATATCCAATGCTTACCTGACTTTTTTGGTGACAGTTGAGCAAGCTTGTGCTTTTGCTGAATTTTTATCAATTAGGTAAACCAATAATTTTATCTGAGTGCTTCAACGTTTTAGTGAATTAGACTTGATGCTTTTAGGAACTGTAAATACCCCCACCCGCCCAAATCTGTTAATTTTCCTTGGATTTTGTTTGAATACTTACTCTCTGTAAATGGTGATGACCATGTCTTATTTTTACCCCTTTTAGATGTGGGAAGTTTGGCAACTAGAAGATTCGAGCAGGGCTGAGCTTCGAGTGACTGAAACAAATGAAGACACTTTGCCCCTTGGCTTAGCTATAGACTACACCAGCCAGCAGGAAATCCACATAAGTAAGTGAATATGACTTTTTATGTATTTAGTTGCTTCACTTGTCTGAGCAGAAGTTAATTTCATATATAAAGATTATTACTGTTGTTGTTGTTTTGCCTTGTTTTTGTTTGTTTGTTTCTCTTTTTGTGGCATAACCTTCATAAGGACTTGGGTTATGATTCATGTTATTTCAGAATATATCAGACTTGTTGACTGTGTCAAATAAGCATGACCAGTCTGCGTACAGTACAATAAAGGTGATCTGTCTGTGCTACAGTTGTTGACAGAAATACTGCTGTCATTTGATTGAGCAAATGTTAACGGACATAACAACTGTAATGCCTGACTCAATGGAATCCCAAAAAACAAAGCAGGGTAGGGCTGCTCGATTATGGCAAAAATGATAATCACGATTATTTTCACTGAAATTGAGATCTCGATTATTTGACAATAACAATGTATTGAATAATGGCTTTAAAGATTGTCAAAAAATAATATAAAATAGTGTGCAAATACTGATAACAGTGCAAATGTTTGCAATATAAAAAATAAATGAAAAATGTAAACATCTATGTTTTAGTGAACTTTGCAGTGTTGCTCTGTGGTGCAGCTATGACACCGTAGCAAAGTTTACACACTATGTCTACTTGGTCCACGTCTGACTCCGCGAACCCATAATGTTTCCACACCACTGAAGTTTTTTTTTTTTTTTTTTTTAACCTCTCTTTTCAACCAACCGTCTCCAAATAACTTCTGCTTAGCTTTCCGAGCTTCCCTCGGGTCCTCTTAATTGCTGTGATGCCTGTTCGAAACGCAGAGAGGTGCGCTCGATTTGTCACACGGAGCAGCGCGAGAGTAAAGCACGAGGGAGGTGCTAATAATCGGCTCAGTCATTTTTAATGATCGTTGAAAGCCCAGATCGTAATCGAGATTAAAATTCGATTAATTGAGCAGCCCTAAAGCAGGGTTTTAAAAAAATGAGTAAATAAAAAAATCGTTACAATGTTGCTGTCTCTGCTTAAAGGCACTTTGAAAAAACAAAACCTTGACCTCATCTGGCACCTTGCCACATAGATGTACACCTTTCAAAGTGCTGGTGCTAGAAATGAGACCCAACACAGTGAGATTTATAAATATCATTAAGGATAACATTCAAGTTTAGTGAATAATCATGGATCACGATTTTGACATTTTCTATCATGGTAGTCAAAGCTTCTAAGAATTTGGATCGACACTGTTGGAAAAACGTGTGGATTGTGTGGGAAAAGTAATGCAGCATTTTGAACACTGGCGAAGCAGTGCAGTGTTAGTGCTCACCATGGATTTATTGTGTTTACGCTGTGAATCTGGTGATCAGTAGTGAGCTGCCTTCTAACTTGTGTGTCAGCAGAAAACTGTGGAAATAGATGGAAGAGGAATTAATGACTCGATCGCACCATAAGTCAGCAAAACACAGAGGCTCGTGTTAGTTTCGAGTGAATTTCTTTTAGCAGAGACAGGCGCATTATATTTGGTTGACTGTGGTGGGTGCATAGTTTCTAATTCTTTTTTTCTTCTTCACCAAGACGCATAGTGACAGTCTCTTGTTAAAGAATCAGACAGCTGCGGTGTAAAATAAATGGCCTGTATTTTTTCAATCCAGGGGTGTGAAAAACATCATTCAGCCCTCTTACCACGCTCTATAGATAGGCGACAGTGCACGTCTCCTCTGCCACCAGACAAAAGTTAATTTGGTCATTTTTAAGTTTAGTTTAATTTAATTTAGTCGTGTTATCTCTTGTAGCGCATTCCCTTGCCTTTGTTTCAACTTTAAAATGTTTTCTGGTGAGAAGTCCCCTAATGAGCCAGTGAAGCTTAAATCCGTCAGGTTTCTGTGTGCATACAGCATTCACCGCAGTGCTGTATTGCAGCATGTGTAAAGAATAGTGATAAGCTATCGTCTCAGTACACTGTTTTATCTTAACTGGCCCAGTCTGCCAGACATTCACGTAGAGCTGCTGTTGCTGTCTAGTCACATCTCTTCCTGTTCGCTCTACGATTCCCTCCCTCCCCATTACGGGGAAAAAACCCTGCAATTTGAGCAACATTATGACATGATTGTAGTCTGATCAAAACCTTGATCTAAAGTTAGACATTAGGTTGGAAAAGCAAAGGGAGAGTAGGAGGGAGTTATCTGTAGGGAAAAATGCACTCATTAAAATGGCTCACACAAGCTAGAGGACCATAACAAACAACAAAGCCCAGACAATCCTGTTGCAGAATGCTGATGAGGTTTACCGTGTGCCTCTCCCGTCTGTTCGCTCCCTCTCACCCTCTCTCTGCTTGCGTTTCTAAAGCTTTCAAACTTTAGTTTCATAACAAAAAAGCATTAGATACAGTTTTTTGGGGTGGGGGTGTATGCTTTCTTTTTGTCTAAAACTTTAAATCGCACCGCTTCTTCAAGTGTATTTCTTGGCATTTTATTTGTCAGTGTGGGTGTGTATTAGTGTGTGTACATTGACACTGATTATCATGCATGTAGCTCATGGGTCAAATAGGTGCAAAGTCGGTGGATATTAATGACACAGTCAGAAAAAGCAACACTTTTTCATGCACTCATGAACAGTTATACTTGATAAATACAGTATTTTTAGATATAAAACGTGGTCATAGAGAAAACAAAGAGGACTGTGTGTTCAGTGTACTTTTTTGGCATTTCTGAAATGACTAGTATCAACTCTGACTAATGCATCTTTAATTTGTGTCGTGAATAGTCAGTTTCGTTATTTGAATGGTGGTTTAGACATGATTTGCCATTTTCTCTGCAGCCCACAGCATACTGCGAGGCTTTGGAAAGGGTAAGAAAGTGGGTGTGAGGAGCAGAAAATGTTTCAGGGTTTGGCGAGAAGAGAAAGGCATCTTACTCTTTTACCGAATTACGAATATTAGGACAGTTGTCTCTGTAACTGACTGGAGTATCTTTTTGAAATGAAGACTGGATACTTTCTTTTTTTTTTTAACCACTAGAGGGCGTAAAGCTCCAACTTCAGTCAGACAACTGTAGCGCGAACCTACTGTCTTAGTACTCAAATGTTCTTAAAACTTTTAAATATATTGTGTGGAGAACTGCTCAGTGTCTGACTTTGTTTATATCCAATCTTTCCACTCCCATAAAGCTGATGAGAAGACCTTGCCCCCAGCGCCCACAATGCTAATGCTTTCCACAGAGGGATTACTTTGTCCATTTGCTCTACTCAACCTCAATCCAGGGGTTAAGCAGCTAGTCGTGGCTCCTTCTAACCTGGCCTTGGAAGGGGAAAGACTTCCCAAACCTGGTAAGAAAAGCTGTGAATTGGAATGATGTTTGCCTAAAATATTTCTTCAATGTCCTAATAAGATAATGTATTGATTGCATAGTGTTTGAATTGTTACAGCTCCTCCTTTGGGGATTTGAAGTGACTATTTGTGCTGTTGTTTTTTTTAATTAAAGTAACTTATAACATACTGTGTATGTGGCTGAAATGCACATAGATTTGTCTCTATGCACAGCTCGGCCACTGTATTCAAAATGTCAGGGAACACAGAGACTTCCACAAACCAC